CAAAATGTACAAATCACCATTAACGTTGCTCACGCTTCTTACTCTGTGTTTTGGATTCTTCAATCTCGGAAATGCTCTTTACGGATCTTCGTCTCCAGTGGTTCAGCTCACTGATTCTAACTTCAAGTCCAAGGTATGGCTTTGATCGATTAAATGTTTCGGCACTTCGCAAACCACCTTTGAAGATTGATCTAATTTTGTAGATGAGAATGCGAGCTCTGGGTTTATGTTTTTAGATAGATCCGGTTTTCAATTGATTTTGTTTGGGTAAAAATCGAAATGAGAATTGATGCGAAACACTGTGCTACAGGTTCTTAATTCAAATGGAGTTGTTTTGGTAGAGTTTTTTGCACCATGGTGTGGTCATTGTAAAGCACTAACACCAACATGGGAGAAAGTGGCTAGTATTTTGAAAGGTGTTGCTACTGTTGCAGCAATTGATGCAGACGCTCACCAATCTGCAGCTCAGGTTTGTAGTGATGTTGTTCTTTTGAATTATCTCAGTGCAATACACACAGCTCACGACACGCTCTGCTTTACCCAGTGATTGTTCTTTTTTAATATTTGGTTGTGATTCTAACGACGTATTCTCGGGTCCAGGATTATGGTATTAAGGGTTTCCCAACCATTAAGATCTTTGTTCCTGGAAAGCCTCCAATTGATTATCAAGGAGCAAGGGATGCCAAATCCATTGCTAATTTTGCTTACAAGCAGGTTTGCCACAGGCTCCTAGACTCTTCAATTACATAATTTTATTTTTACATGATTAGGCGCATCTAAGGCCTGTAGATGATTTTCATGCCACAACATACAGGAACAAGTTTTTTACCATGTTATTTTCTTTTGGCCATAAGCAGACTAGGTATCCTGATAAATATGCCATAGTTATGTAGAACAAGTTTTGTACTCTTTATTCCTTAGCTAAGTACTGCAAAGGAATCTTGTGGAATCGCACTAATAGTCCATCAAACCAAATATAGCACTGATATGATTATGGGTAAAGATTTTTATCCTTTTTACATATAAAGTAACATTTCTCAGTGCACGAAGGACTGCAGTTGATGATCTCAATGGGGTCAGCGTCTTTAAGTGCATAATACTATCACCTTTTCCATAGTTTTGTAGCTAGTCTAGTAAATAGTAATTGAAGAAGCGTAAGAGGCCATTATGTCATTTTAATTTACATTGCACATATAACATTCTCCATCCAAGCCGTGTTCGTGCATTCAGATTAACTGATTGTTTTTATTTTTGAATCCCAGATTAAGGCTCTTGTGAATGACCGTTTGGAGGGTAAAAGTAAACCAAATGGAGGAGGTTCTTCTAGTGAAAAGAAATCCGAGCCTAGTGCATCTGTTGAACTGAATGCTAGCAATTTTGATGAGTTGGTCATCAAAAGCAATGAACTCTGGATTGTTGAGTTTTTCGCACCTTGGTAAGTTGTGATTATTGACCCAATGACTAATCATGCCTTTAAACTTCCTCGGTACATTTGAAGGTGTATAACATTGTTTTTTATTTCTTCCAAAAGGTGTGGACACTGCAAAAAGCTTGCCCCAGAGTGGAAAAAGGCTGCCAAAAACTTGAAGGGGAAGGTGAAATTGGGTCATGTCAATTGCGATGTTGAGCAGGTAATCACTAGAATTGTTTACATTGTAATATCTTTGGCTATCGGTGGTAATTTCCATACTCTCTCCCGTCTCAGCATCGTAGGAATTTTATGTCGCTTCCTATGCCTAGTATTTACCTGTTTGGCCACAATGTCTTTTTCATGTTCATAACTCTTGATTCATTTTTCCCGTGATGAGTTCTGAGCAAGATTGTTATATATTGCAGTCAATAATGAGCAGGTTCAAAGTGCAAGGATTCCCTACAATTTTGGTATTTGGTCCAGACAAAAGCAGCCCATATCCTTATGAGGGTGCTAGATCTGCGTCAGCGATAGAATCTTTTGCTTCTGAACTTGCGGAATCCAGTGCTGGCCCTGTTGAAGTAACTGAACTAACTGGGCCGGTATTGTTCTCATCCTTTGCTTCTTCCCTAACACGATTTCTTAAATACTATTAGGCTCAAACCGAAGACACTGAAACTTGTTCCATGGTGATTGTATAGGATGTCATGGAAAAGAAGTGTGGTTCTGCTGCTATTTGCTTCATCTCTTTCCTACCTGACATTCTTGACTCCAAAGCTGAAGGAAGGAACAAGTATATCGAGATGTTATTATCAGTTGCAGAGAAATTTAAGAGACATCCTTACAGGTATACAAAGAAAAACTATATCCTCTCTGCTGCATCATTGTCCTGTTCTCAGTTAGTCCAACGGTTTCAGAACCTAAAATGATGAACTAAGTCTGGGATTATTCAGAAATATTACCTACTCTGAAAGTTTCACTAAAGAATCAACACACAAGTTCCTTATAGAAGTGTTAGGACATTGAATCAACAGAATTGAGGTTAACGGTTCTTATAGAAGTGTCAGGACCTGCTATGAGAATCTCATGTAATCTGTAATATTGTCTGCAGTTTTATGTGGGTGGCGGCTATAACTCAGCCGGATTTGGAGAAGCGAGTTAACGTGGGAGGATACGGTTATCCAGCAATGGTAGCCATGAACGTGAAGAAAGGAGTATATGCTCCTCTTAAAAGCGCATTTGAGCTTCAACAAATCTTGTAAGTTTGGTTCAACTAGAGATCTCAATGATTCATATTGAACTGAGTGATTTTCGCTCTTACATAACACGTAACCTTTTGTTTGTGTTACATCAGAGAATTTGTCAAGGATGCTGGGGCCGGTGGAAAAGGAAATTTGCCTATGAACGGAACACCAGAGATCGTGAACACAAAAGTGTGGGACGGTAAAGACGGACAAGTGATCGAGGAAGATGAATTCTCACTTGAAGAACTCATGGGAGGTGATGATGATAATGTTAGTACCAAGGATGAGTTGTGAAGAATCCAAGATGTGAAGATGGTCTAAAAAAACCTGATTTTGCTACTTGTGAATCTAAACCATTGAGTGTTTCTTACGCTTTTTTATATTTGCCAAAAAGAAAAGAGCATTTCAAGAGACAATTCCCAAAAATGTCAGTAATTTGGATTTAGATGTAGAAACATACATAAGCAGAGAATCTTTGGCCGTGTGACATTGAATATTGCAACATACTGTACGTATATGATTGCACCCAGAGCTTTTTTTCCCTTAAACCTATGACCAAATGTAAAGTCATGTACAACAAAATCTGGAACAAGCTTTTAAACCTAAAGCTTAAACTCATCATCAGCTAAAACTCTGTTACATATATTCTTACACAAGAGTGTTGATGATACAAGCTCACATTTATACCTCATGGGCCCCTTCTGCCAATAAGGTTCACTTGCTTCTTCTCAGGTCTAAGATTTACCATTTCCCGCTACTGGCTAATGTCGTCTATCCTCCATAAGCATTCTTTTCTCAACGGCGAATCTGTAAATATAGCTTTAATGAAATCTTGTACCTGCAACAAGTATCATTACAGAGCTTTCAGTATCTTCATAAACAGTAGTCATGTGAAAGATGAGTAGACTTCATAGACTTTGCCTAAATCCAGAAGAAATAGAACTTGATAAACAATATAACAAATGTCTTCATGAGGTAAATCAAGTTAAAAAGATTGTACCTCTGTTCTTGTAAAATTGCAACTAAACAATTCGCCACTTTCCCAAGCTGAAGTTATAGACTTGAGAGGCATATCCAATAGTTCTGTAAATGAGAAACAAAAAAAAGCCATGGAACGAAAAATTAACCGAGCCAATCCCAAGCTTAGCGCTAAACTGAGGGGAAAAAAGATTAGTAAAGACATGCCTGCTAGTTTCCGGGTTTTACGCAAAGATGGTATGAGATCATCAAGAGGACGAGAAGTGTCGTCTGCAGATTTCAGGGAACCGAGTAAAGAAGATAGATTCTCCAACATGAGATGAATTAGTCTTTGTAGCTGAGAATAAACAAAACCGTTTTTAATAGCCAATTAGAAAGTAACATTTGCACAAGGGACTAGCAAAGAGAAACAGTTACCTGAAAAGTTTCATCAGCAGCCATGTCATCTAGAAGAAGAATGTCTCTGGTTATCCTGCGAAAGACCGACTCTAAAACTAGGCACATGCTTTGTTTGTAAGTTTTGGGCCGTAAGACCGGCTCCCATATCATATGCACTTTCTCTAGACTAAAGACAACCTGTAAAACAATTGCATTTTTCTGATAAAACTGACCCTTGAATGGAAAGAAGGTAAAAAAGAACAAAGAAATTCAAAGACTGAGCATCTACCTGCTCAATGCTAAATTTTGCAGATTCGAATTGCTTCGGTTGATGAGTATCCTGAAATCCATCTGCACTGTCTACAGCCTGATGATAGACACAAACTGTTAGATGAGGAATCAATGGTTTTTAAACTTCACTTAATACTACTTTTCCATAGAAAATAACCTCTCGCAAACTTGAAATTACTAGCTGAACTTGTCTTTGTAAAACTTCTTCTGCCATCAATTTAAATCTTGGGGCCACGTCAGCAAATACTGCATATTCCTTGACGGAGCTAGGGAAGTTAGCACGATACTGTGAACACAATGATATTATATAGTCAGAGAAGAATAAATCTGTTTAAGAAGAGAACGTCGGTTTCTCAATCAAACAAAGGAAATTCAAACCAGGTTTATTTAGCATAAAACACATCTGTCCATACCTCAAAAGCAAATCCAAGTATCTCTTCGAACAAATATAGACAATCATTGTGCAGAAGAACAGCAGCTTGGTTGATGCCATTGAGTTGTTTCTCTAGCTTCACATTTCGAGAGAGTACAGAAGAAGAAAGATAAGACTTTGTGCATATTTGTGAAAGATTTTCATGTGATGATAATCACCATATTCATCTTATTTTAAGCTTTTTTATTTCACTGACCTTGACGGGAACAACAGCTTCATATAAAAGTATAGAATCTCGAGCAGCGTGGTAGAACTCTGAAGCAACCCTTGCAGAAGACACGCAAACATCCTGTAGGAAAATGAGTTTAATATCCCAACCATGTCTGAAAAATTCTAATGTTGAATTCCCAAGTCCCAAAAGAGCCACCTCGAGAGTCTTATGCACCAAATGCATAAGTTGAGAAGCAGCGTCAGACACCACACACATTTCAGAAGAAAAAAGTAAGCGAACGATGTGCTTCGAAGAATTCACATCTAAAGATTCCTCACCATCCGACCTGGCATTCCCCATAGCAAGTTCCTGAAAAAGAATTTCACAATCATGAATTTTAACATGAGAAGGTTGGTGCGGTAAATATGACGATAATCACTCACCTGGGGAATCATAAAGTTACACCGCAACAGCAAATTTCTTGCTTTTGCTAGAATTTCTATCTTCTTTCTAGATGCAAAATGAACCTCAACATTTTCAGCATATGTACTGAGCCTTCTCTCCGCATCAGGTGAAACAAAATTTAATTCGTTTAAAGCTGCTTCAAATTGAGAGGTCCGCTCGATAACTTTCTGAAAGTCAGCAAGTTTTGAAGCATCTTCTGGGACAACCTGAGTCCAAAGGGAACAACAACCTTTTAACAACCTACAGTTGAAGTTCAAAGGAGAAGAGTGTTCTATCTCTACCAAAGAAATTTCACCGTGATCTCGCATCCATATGAGTTATAAAAACGAACCTTCGAAAGAAATTTAGAAATAATTAGCTCTGAAATCCTTGGCCATGTCAATCTCCCGAAAGAATGGATCCATGTAACGTTTCCAAAGCACAATGAACTGCAAATGAACTTAACAACCTTAAGAATTCCTGAATATATAGCATCTCCATTCACATCTTCAGTCTGCATTCAAGAAGGAAATCATTTAAAGAGTTAAGGCTAGAGAAAAAGAAAATATTCATGAGTCGGATATCGAGCTCCTCCAAATCTCATTTGTACAGCTACCTTATGATCTGAGGATTTCTCTAGCTTCAATATCGCTTCGGTTATTTCCCCTGAGGTTTCACTTGAATCTTCAACAGCGATAAAGGTGGATGGATGAGTTACAGCTGGGGTGATGACATGCTTGAAGATTGAGTCAGCTGCTTTCGCTAGCCCATAGTCTAACATTCCAATCACCTAGAAATATCCAGAACAGTCAAAACCCAAATTTTTGTAAACACAAATGCCTCAATCGGAAAAAGTACTGAAATTGCAATGATTCTCGCTAGATATAGAATAGATCATATTCATACCTCCATTGCCTCGAGAACAGTACTAAGAGCAATCCCAGAAGTCTCACCAATGCTAAGCTGGTAATTAATCCGGAGCTTACGCGAGTCCAGCTCAAAACGCACTGCAGTCTCCATGAATTTTGCAAGCACATCTTGAATCTGCAGACACAAACACAATTCTTCTAAACCCTCACTAGTACTCTTAGATACAACCAAATGCAAGATGAAAATTTCGATTTTTATGTTACCCATAAGAATTGAAATGACACCAAACTAGCCATTGGCATTGAGCTAAACTAGAGTTTCATTTTATTCAATCCATGGTTGAAATTCTGGCTCACCTCGTCAAAGCAATCAGACCATTCCTTCCTAAGCATAACGTAAGCAACAGGTTCTCCTTCTTCTTCTTCACCAATCCTCAATACAACTTTCAGTTCTCTGATTCTCTCGGCAGCGAATCTGAATCGTCCACCTTTCAGAGCTTCCTTCGTTTCCTGCAATGCCTCACAGATTCCAACAATCGCACTCACTAAATCAAGCGATTCTCTCTTCAATTTCACCTCTTTAGTCTTTTCGGTTATCTCATCAACTACTTTGCGAATCTCAACATCAATCGAACGGTCGGAAATCAATTGCAGGACATCGGAGACGTCGTCGGAGATCAGACGAGTCCTCGAGACGGCGTCTTGACAGGTTGAGAAAAGCTCCGAGAATTCAGAGTGATGGGCGACGAGGTAGGACTGAACTTTGGACTTGATCCGTAGGGAATGAGACTCCAAGCGGTTTATGAGGAGACGGAGATCCGGCGCCGATAATGGAGTCGTCGGATCGTTGAGATCGTGTCCGGTGAGAAGGTTCCGAACATTGATCGATTCAAACAACGCGTCAATCTCCGGCATGACGGAGGGACGGTGGTCGTCGTCGTCGGAGGAGATGTTTTCCGATCAGAGAGAAATTCGCGGTGAAAGAATTGGCGGTGACACTGGACCTTTATTGGACACGGACGATTTTCATTTGATTTTCTATTGGGCCTATCAAATAAAAAATGTGAGGCCCAAAGCGAGTCTTCATTTTAAACATGTTTGTTTTATTTGTTTCACTTAATTCTACATATATTTTTTGAGAAAAACTTAATTCTATGTATTGAGAATATGTACTCGATATGCAAATTCTAGCGTCTTTTAGGCTGCAAAAACAAGTAAAATCGAATAATAATAATAAAATTGCAGCGTTAAAAAACAAAAAAGTAAAATCATAAATAAATTAGTTCATTTACTACCATATGTTTTCTTTTTTATATAACATAATTTTTGCGTGGATTTTTAACAAATATATGGTATAACACGTTATTTTTATATTATAAATTTAAATTGAATATGTTCATTTACCATTTTTCACCACATGTATCTCTTACCAATTCTGAAAAAAAATTTTGGTTAAATCTCAAAAAGAAATCTTATAGTACTATTGTTTATAGGTGTGTGAAAATATATAAACCAAGTATGTAAGTCAGAATATCAAATATTCAGAATATGTATAATAGTAATTTATATTAGTATTACATGTGTGCTACCATTCGAATTTAAACCTGGTATAATGCGACGAGAAATCATGAATTAAATTTTAGGACTACATAAACGATAAACGAATGATGATTTTTATATAAACGGGAAAAAAATTTAGCGACTTTAACACTCTTTTCGTATCTTGTATATAAAAGATCACTTCTTCTCATAAGAGGTTGACACCTCATCACTTTTCCTATCATCATCTTCAAAAAAAAAAAATTGTCAAGAATTTAATTTATGTTCCGCAATTTTTAAAGACAAATCATATTCATGATCTTCAAAATCAGCGATTTCTCCTATAAGAAGTTCATGTCGTTCCCTCTTCTTCCTTATGCACCATTCTCAAAATTCAAAGTCGAATTTATTTCTGTTTTGTAAAGGAATGATCAAACGGATTTGTCTTTAGTGAAACTTCATTTGATTACTTTCTTATTACCATGGTCACCTTTTGTTATGTAAGGTGTGGGAAACTATTATAGTTCGAATAGTATTCGTGATATTTTACGCACAAGAATATGGATGAGTAAGTTTAATACATTACTACAACCTAAGTTAAATACACATAAGAATATGAATGAGTAATCATAGAAATCTATGTCATAATAATACTGGTTATGAGTAACTTCGATTCAAAAAGACACATAATTTTTTTTATCCAAGTATTGAGTTTTATACAATGCGGATATTTTTTTGTGCAACCAATTCTTTCATTCCATCAAGTCTTAGCTAGGTTAAAAACGTAGGGGCATTAAACAAAGCCTTTTTTGCTTAAGAGTTTGCAAAGACATATATAAAATCTATATTATAAAAATCCTACAATATATACGCGGGTTATCATCTAGTTATATTAATTGATGTTTCTGAGATGCTAAAGAAATTTGTTTCTCTCATTTTGTTAAATACTTAATTATTTGGAAGAAAAAAAAAACTAAAAATACTGCAACAGTTACTTAGCCTTAAGACCAGCGCAAAACAAAACTCTTTACTCCATTAATAGTAAATTCCATTTCTTATATAAACATAATAATCGTAAGAGAAAAACATGACACAAAAACAAAGAACAAAAGCTCTTTAAAGTAGCTAGTTCGATCAATCTTATCAAATCGTAGTTTGTTTCAGACAAGAGAGTATCAAGAGAGAGAAAGTACTACTGTCTGATCCATGGCTGCATCTAGAGAATTTATCATCTGCTGCTTCTTAACACTTCTCTTATGCAATTTCTTCATGAGAGTCGACTCTGGTTCTGCTGACATCAGCAGAGGAGGAGGATGTGGCGGCGGCGACGGTAGTCTCCGGGATGATAATGAGCGGTGTGTGGAGGAGGTCAAAGATGACGACGACGATGACGTGGATGATGTTTACAAAGTCATCAACAAAATGAGGATTTATGCATGATCATTTCTATCATATATAGGGCTTAACTATTAATTTATACTTTTTTCGTTTTAATTTTCTTTATTTTCTCACGTTTGTTTCTCGTTTTTTTTAAGGGTCGATCGATTATTCTTCTGTATTGGTCTTGATTCAAATTTAATTTTTCTTTCTTTTTCTACCTTAATGAGAGAAATTATGATCCGAAGAAGAAAATAATTTGCCTCCTCTTTTCTTGTTTTGTTCGATAATGACGTGCTTTATCACAAACATAAATTCGTGATTATTCGATAGTAGATGATACTCATGATAGTATATATTAATATTTTACAACACTGTAAAAGAGTAACACATATTGTAAAAAGGATGGCAAGAATTGAGTATGGTAAAATTTCGATATAAAATAATAATTGCGTATGGGATGCTATCTCAAATTATTGAAAGCTCATGTACAATTTTTTTATTGACGTATATTTGATGTATGGTATAAAGTTTAGAAGATGTTCTGGAGTATTTGGTCAGAAAACGATGCGATGTTATTTGCCGTTTGGATTTTATGAGTTATTGTGATTCTTTTGATTGAGTTTAGTTTTTTTGGAGAAGTTTTTAGTTGAAATTTTTTCCCTCGTAGAAAATATATGTTTAGTTTCTAGTCAATTTTGGCTATCTATTTAATTTAAGTTTTGCAGTTCAATATTGTTCAACAGCGGCTTCACTGAAGATAATTCGAAAAAATTTGACAAAGATAATCAAAGAAAGAGATTTATCTAAATTCAGAGAATTGTTATCATGTTATCGTAATAGATTTTGAAAGTCCGGCTGCTATTGTGGATTTTGGAATACCTAATTGTCTACCTTCGATTCGAAACAAGATCATTTTGGTATCGTTAATGTGTCGTCAACGATTATTATCCTCACTTATTTCCTGGTGCGGAAATGACCATTAGTTTCTCTTTATATTTCAAATGTTGAACTTCTTCTTCGATGATGTAAACTATTTTAAATTTTAAATCAATTTTAATAAAATAAAATGTTAAAAAGACGTATATTTGATGTATTAAAAGACTTGTCCAATTAATATCTCTTTAATTTCATTTTGGAAGTTGGATAGACTCGCCTCTAATATTTTTATTTATTTTGCCATCTGATATTATTAATAAGGCAAAATTTGAGATAACATAATATCGGCGGATAAAAAACAATTCCTAAAATCAAAAGCCGGATGAACCTCCAATATACGTTCTATGTTACTTTTTATGTGAT